GCCAAATCATCTCCCAACGCCGCTTCCGGTCAGGGTCAACAGCATTCCCAACGACCCCCGAAGACGGAAGGCACGGTGACTGGATCGAAGACTACAGCACCAGTGGCAAATTGAATAAAAGCATAGAAACCGATCGCAGAGCATGAGAATACATCAGGCTGAAACAAACATACCGGTCTCCATATGACATCGATCATGACACATGCATTGCCGCATATCCTCTCAGCGCTCTTTAGATTGTTTTCATTTGATTCGAAGTAGATTGTGCTCCAATGCTGTCTTTGCGTGAAGAAACTTGGATTCTTCGGTCCAACACAGTTTGCATCCATTGTCCATGAACAAGTCTGTCTATAAACAACTCTATGAACATGTCTATGATATATACACTGATACCGTCACTGAACAATTCTATGAATCAGACAACGAACAAAGTATGTACACGGGTAATTATAGGTTTTGTATGGTGTAGAAAGTAGAGAAAGAACGCATTAGGTACAAGCGATATACAGTCAAGTCACGTCATCTAAAGAAAGCTGATCATCCAACAGTCGAAACACATTGATCACATTCTCCTCCACTGAACAGACAGACCACAGTTTGTCATTGAGCGGAATCTCTCATGATTGCCCCATCCGCGGTGTGAACAACCACCGAGCCAGGCTTTGTAGTCCCCACCCTACCCGCGTTTGCATCATAGGAAGGGTTGGCATTTGACTGGGATGATGGGTCAGGAGCCCCGTAATGAACAGGCTGCGGGAAGAACGGTGCGGATGGTTGGCTGGATGATGATAAGGAAGGCACAGCGTCTGAGCTGGAGATATAGGAAAAAGCACTCGGAAGAATCGGCTGGGCAGGGAGAGGAAACCTCGGGGCTTGCGGAGGCCTCGGTGCAGTCGCGTGACTCGCAATTGGCATATTCGGGTCACCATAGTGTAGCGGTTGGGGCATCTCCAAATAGGGGGAAGAAGTTGGGGATGAAAAGGAGACTACAGGTCCCTGAGGCAAGTCACCAGATATAGTCGAGACTGGACCGCAGTATGCGTCGCATGAAGAGGGGAGGTGGAGAGGTGGACCTATCGATGAACTTTTCATCGCGGCTCTTCTGCGGGCAATTTCAGCGAGCATGTCTGGAGGTGGCGAAGCAGGCCTCCGGAGCTGGCTAGAGTGATTGCTGACCAATCTCGTGGTTGGAAGCATGCTTGTAGCTTGGCTGGATGGAGAGCCCGTAGGGGGAAAAACGGGTGAGACTCCGGAGCTTCCGGGCCGGGTACTGTGCGGTACGGGGGAAGGCTGGCCACCATACGCAGACGTCTGAGTTGGAGCCATGCTTGTAGTGGGTGGGAGACCGGATGGGGGACCAATGGCTGAGACTTGGAGACTGCTCGGCTGGGGCACTTCCGAGCTTGACATCAATGAATTTGCGTACGCCGGAGTGCCAGTCGTTTCGGGGTGCTCACTTTCGGGAACTTCAGAGCATTCGTGGAAAATGGAGTTTGATGAAGTCTAATCAGAATCAATTTCCTTGGCGGCAGCAGGATGCCCGGAAGTGCTTTTGTCTGAGCCTTCCAAGTCCAGATCGGGATCTCTGCGTTTGCCTGGGTGCAAAGACCACCTGAGGCGCCGCATTGCCATCGCGGGGATATCCAACAATCGCCCTAAGAGGGGTCGGGAGTTGTTGTGACTGTCCGACTCTCTGTCAGGCTCAATCGAACCAGAATCGGAATTGGCTGTCATTTGCGGCATAGATCCCACGGAAAGTCTTCTGTTGTCTTTCAAACCCAACAATGAAGCTTGCGTATGAGAGGTCAGGTCACCTGTTGAGCGTACTCGTAGGAATGTGTCGCCAGATTGGTATGGAGAACGTGTTGGCCCCTCAGAGTATGGTGGCGGTTGGTCGATGACAAGGCTGGACATTTCTCCATTGCTCATATCAGCTGATCGTTTCCTCACATTCGTCTTGTCAGGATGAACTTTGGTGCCGTTATTGAAGGAGGACATCGCAGTGAAAGTGGCAAGAAAGTGTCGAGGTTGGAAAAGCAAGGCTTATATAGCTAATAAAGCCTATCGGATGCGTGAGAAAGCTTTGTCACTGCAAAGTCTTTCCTTTGAGGCTCCTCATTCCTGCACTGCATTACGTCAAGCAACGTCTTTGTTCTCTGAAAAGAGCTTTACAGTTGGAGCAAGCTCGAAACGTCAAAAATCGTGTTTCTCCTTTCGAGGAGGTGGCGGTGCCACTGAGCGCACAGCTCTCGGCCCCAGTCACTCACAAGGGTGCGATCTACCAATAGATCCTTTATAGGTCACTGCATAGCAGCGAGAGGCAGAGACAAGCCTGGAAAGTTCCATATGGTATACCGTGGAGACCGTCGTACAGCCCCAACAATAAGATGCGGATGGATTAGCAGTCACCGGGACCCACGACATTCTGTGAGATTTTGTGCATCGATATCTAGAGATGCAGTGGGCCCACTGTGTATGTAGCTCTATGTCAATATCCCAGCGTCCGGAAGCGTAGTGTGGCATCATTCCGCCGTGCTCTACGCCAATCCTCTATCCGCCTCCATTCTTCTCCCACTCCCTCCTCATAGCCTTCGATCATGAGTCCCATTAGCCATTCTTCATATGTCCACTCGTATGGAGCACCAAAGACGAGCTTTTGCCGCATTTTCAGGACTTTACGAATTGGCTTGTCGACTTGAGCTACAGCATGACCGTCGAGATCGGTAGATGGAGTGGAAGTGCCGGGAGTCGGTGGCGGAGTGAAATATGGGTTTGTGGGATTGGGAGGTAACGCAGGATGGACCGGGAAAGACGGAAGCAGACCCGCCCAAAGCATAGAGGCAAGACGGGCTTGTACTTCCGCAAGGGGAAAGGGGACCACTTGATATTCTACTCTCAGCTCCATCCATAAAAGGTCAACTCACGAAGTGTTAAGAATGCGAGGCTCCGGTCTCCATCTAGAAAGATCATTGTCTCGTCAAGTCCGTGAACACCCAGCCCTTTGAGTCCACCTTGTTCCCGTGAAGCTCCGTTGTCCCGCTCCTCCTTGGTGATGACTCTATCCAGCAGTTTATGCGACTTCCAAGGTTCGTCTGTAACTTTGCAGAACGGTAAGGAGAAATTATACCCAGTCGCAAAGATGATCGTATCCACCTCGATTGGCTCTGTGTTGGTCTGTCCAGGTTGAAAGTGTATTCTTCCCTTAGGATAATCATCGGAGGGACGTTCGACATGAGATATGAGTGGGACATTCGTCACAAATTGCCGCCAAGGTTGGGATGATTCCCCACCCTGATCCTGAGGAGTCGGTGCTCCACTAGCAGAAACATAGACTTTGGTGAAACCACTCTCAGAGCCAGATACAGGAGTAAGAGGTCGACCATCTGATGTGTATCTGCCGATGTTCAATCCGCCAATTTGTCGAGACAGATCTGAACCTGAAGCAAACGACCCGACAACGAGTACTGTCCGACCGGCATACTCTTCTGGTCTAAGATAGAAGCGAGAGTGAAGCATCTCTCCAGGAAATGAACTATCGTCAGCGGTCTCACGACGAGGCAACTCACGATAGGTCAGGGACTGGAGGGACCCAGACATCGCTGTAGTGCCCATTGGCGATACTGACGAAGTCGAAATGCTCAAGCTCAGATCCAGACCGCGAAGAAGAAGTAGATTCAATCGACCAACGGTCATCAGCTCGATACAAGCGATCGACACGAGTGTTGAAGCGTATGTGAGGAAGTAGGTTAAAATGTCGAGCGTAGACTTGCAAGTAAGCGAGAACAGTCGCTGGAAGGTTCAGCTCGTATCATCTACAAAGGCTTACGCTGATCAGGAAACAGTGTAGTGCCCTCTGGAAACGAAAAGTCGCGGAATGACATCAAGTCCTAGCTTGTCAGCCAAATCAGCACCAATACTCACATAAGGGAGATTAGTGCGAAGACCAAAGTACATCGGGGATGGATCTTGGCCTTTCGGTGGTTGGAAGTAGACCTGCTCGTCGGTATTTACTCGCTGGTACCCTTTGGGCTGGGTTTCACACAGCCTAGCTGTAAGTACACTCATGCGAAAGTAAGAGCTCAGACTCACCAAGTACCGCCAATCTCACTCCTGCTCTCGTACAAGATCACCTCAAGCTTACGAGTGACATCTCGACGTGCAAAGGTGTCGAGTAGCTGTTTCAGCTGCACCAAGCCAGATGCACCTCCACCAATTATAGCTACGCGGGTGCAAGCCATCTCAATACTTCCAACAGGAGAAGGAGGAGGAACGCTGGACTAAAAAAGAAAACAAAAACAGCGACTACCTTGGAATGATATCTCTCGGTTAAAGCCGGAATGACATTCCGACGGAGATCAAGATAGATGGCGACATTAGATCTGATATAGTGTAGGGCCTCGCATCTTGAATATGCGATGAGATACTCAACGCCTTTTTGGATGTGACTCCGCGTGTCGAGGACTGGACAAGGAGAAAAGGGAGAGACGGTTGACTAGTCAACTCTCTCTTCTCGGGGAACAGACAGCAATGTGGCAGCCCTACAAAAATGGCTCTCCATGTTGCATCCCTACATCGCTATGCAAGCCTGTAATTCTCCCTATGCATGGCTCTTGACTGTGATACTGAAAGGCCCGAAACACATCCGTCGTGAGCGGCGAATCGCATTCGGTGGTGGATGGGCTGGCCATGGAGGAAACCAAACCATACAAAAAGATCGCAGAAAGCGCAAAAAGAAAGGTAAGACAGGGATTTGAACCCTGTCGCGAAATCGCGGCAGAGGTCAACTGCCTCCAGCATGGAGGTCGCTCACATGGTACAAAATACCTAACTAGACGGCGCGAAAACGTACGCGCAGATGGCTCAATAGCTCCCGCGGTTGTCGTTGAGTCCGAAGATAAATTGCAGTAACACCAGTAAAGGGTAAAGGATTACGAAGAGAAGCAGTTCATTCTGATTAGCTTTATAAGGAAACATTTCCCAATACTTTCCAATCAAGAAACGCTACTTTGTCCGAGTGGTTAAGGAGCTGAATTAGAAATTCAGTACCGTTAGGTGCACAGGTTCGAGTCCTGTAGGTAGCTTAAATTTTTTCTTTTTAATCTGATTCATCTTTTATCCACCTCCAGCCGCTCGGGCATCTCACCTACTCATATGCGGTCAACGTGTATATATATATCGCTGCTGGGTCCCTGGGTAATTCTGAGCGACCAGTTTTTGGCATATAGAAGGAGTAAGCAACGAGATTTTGTGTGACGTAAACCCGGGCGAGTGCAAAGGTAACGTTATGCTAGCAACCTACAGAGGCATGCATGATCACTTGTGAAATTCTTCTCAGGCTGGTGTGGCCGCAGCCTCCAAAGCTATCATCCCACTTCTCTTCTTCTGCATCAACTTCTCCCGTAAAGCCTTTGCCTTTCTCTCGCCCATCAACTTCTCTTTCAATTCCCTCTGACGCCTCTCAACCTCAGTCTCTGCTGCCATCATCTTCTCCACCATGAGTCGCCTTCTGATTTCTCTCGCGCGATCTGCCCGGTCCAACTTTCTCAGTACGGCATCAGTCTCTTCGGCTTCCCGCCTTGCTCTCGCTTCGAGCAGTCGACGTCGTAGTTCTTGAGCTTTTGTCTCGTTTTGATTATACACAAATACTTGTTTTTCCGATGCAAGTTTCTGGCGCAGTCTCAAGCGCGCTTGCACTATAGCACGCACTCCGGATGATTTCAGGACGGTACCAATGGTGGAAACTGAGGGATCAGAGATGGAGTGTGGTAATGGGGGTATAGGATTGGTTTCTGCTTCTGCTTTCGCGCGAGCGAGACGTTCGACGAGCTTGAGTCTAGATGCCGGTTCGACTTTTGCTGCTCCACGTATTGACAGACTCGGTGCTGCTTCTGGTAACTCTAGAGGGTCGACGACGACGTCCATGGCAAGCGGTGCCTCTGGTGGGCTCGGCAAGAGCTCGACTGGCCTCTTCGGCCTGACCGGCATCGATGGCCGTCGCTTCCTCGCCAATCTCTCCGATTCTCTCCGCTTCTCCTCCTCGATCCAGGCCTCGTAGTCTGGATCTAGCCATGTATCAGGCTCATCCCATCTCCGAGACGTTGGTGATGTGGGTGGTATGAACGTGTCGCGACGATTCCAATTTCTGCGTAATGCTCCTCTTGATGAACGAGATTCGACGCTAGGAGAACGAGAAACATTACGTGCAGGGGACGGCGACCGAGAGTGCGATGGCGATCTAGATCTAGATCTTGGTAATGGTATAGGATCATACTACCGTCATCAGTCACGAATTGTTCCATGTTGCTCACCTGAGCCACCTCGTCCCATTTTCTCAGCTCCTTATACGGACTACGCAAGAATGAGTATAGTTCATGAGCGAAGTGTTCTGCGCCTCGTGGGTAATTGGGTCCATCGGGATTATCGAGGTATTCAGAGAGTAGTCGAACAGCAGGGTCAGATCTGATATCTACGGCCTTGAGAAGAGCAAGGATATGGTTGGTGAGAAATTCCACGTCTGTTAGAGTCCAAACTCGCAATTCTCTTCTCAAAAATGCCGTTGCTCTCTGCACCAAACTTGGATCTTCTGATAGTTGCCTCGGAGTGGGATTTGGTCGAAATTTCGTCAAAGTATTTGACCCGACGTGCTGCTATCAGCGATAGTCCCCATACCAGGCCTTACCTTCGCATAGAGCTCGTGTTGGTAGATCGAACGCCGCCGTTCGACTTGGAGATCCAGCTCGTCTGGTTCTTCCTTAGCCTGCTCTGCTTCTTGCGGTATCCGCAAACGAGATGAGCCAGCGAAAGATAACGAAGGAAGTTTACGTTGAGGCAATGGTGGGAGGTAGAACTATCCTACCATCAGCTTTACCGGACAGACTTCATCTTATAGCTTTTGACTCACCTTAGTAGGGACCGCATTGTCCAGCTCATGCAGTAAGAAAGGCGCCATATCCGCCGAACAAAGTGGACATCTTCTAGATTGATTCGCCCAAACACCTATACACTCAAACTACCCGATAAGCTCCCAGAACACCTTGTCTGTCAGTATGAATACGACTCACACAAAATTCATGGCCGCAAACGCCCACAATCGTCCGATCCCGTAAAGCCATTAGACAAATCACACATCTCTCTTTATTCGCATCCTCATCCTCCCGTTTTGGTGGAAGAATGATCGGCTCATCAGGATGCTGGGCTACTTCGTCGTCCCAGTCCATCTTCTTGCGTGAGGCTGCCAGTCGAGCTGATTGTGGCTGATCGGCATGAAGAGGAGGCCACGTCCGAGGAGGAGAGAAGAGAGCGTGTTCGAGAAGGAATCCCTCGGCTTCGTCGACTTTCCTTCGTTAGCGGATCTTCTCAGTGTTTTAGGTCGACTTGTATACTCACGGTATATCGCATCATCGACAGCCTGCTTCCGAGGCATCTTGCTATGTGTTCATGTAGCGGTATAAGATGAAGACGAGACGCGATGAGGAAGAAGAAATCAAGTCGGGTGGTCATGTCGAGATTGTGGCCCCGCATCGTTCTCGTTTCAACTTCAGACTGCGATAATCAATTCTCATGCGTCGACAGCTCGGCGTATCCCATTTATTATTTGGTTAACAGACATGGAGGAGATAGACCTCACGCTCACTCGGCAAGACTTTCACAAAGCTCGAGCGAATGTGCGATAAAGTACAATCATTATTCATATTTACAAAACGAAACGACAATGTATGGCTCATCTAATTCCGCCAACCCTGACAACAAGCGATAACCAAGCTACAAACCTCCAAGCCAGACAGATGGCGATCGTGATGCCGACATACCTCGCCGTATCAAGGTCTCGCCATCCGAAAAGAGCGAGCCTTACCTGTGTTCAGCTGGGCCTCGGTCAAAACTAGGAACTAGCAAGCCACATACATTTGCTCTCCTGTCTGTGCGACACATTCTCCATTCTGAATTTCCGCCGCTGTACAGTAAAATTTGAGACCTATCGTTTCGTTGATCACCTGGACGTGAGTCGCAACTAGACTAGTCAGTTATCTTGCCGATGACACTGCGCTTCCAAGCGTACCCTTGACGCAAGTACCCCATGCGATCTACCAAGTCAGCAGCAGATCTGTAATCCGCAAATTGACTCACTGCAGACAGCCAGTTCGGTACGGATAGACTGATAACACCGCTGATTTGCCCAGCCAGACTTAAGATGGTTGACACAATACTTTACGTTAGCTAGGAGCCTCAGCCCGCGCTCACGTTACAGTCAGTCCCTCTGTATGTATCCATGTCCCGAAAATGATCGCAAAGCTCTCTCCCATGTTAAGCATGGCCCAGATCGTCGCGCTATATTCAAAGTATATTCTTGCCGAGGTCTGCATGCCTACAGCTATGTTCATCTAATACGTCAGTAGCGCTTGAAAAATATGGGACGAACGATTGCAGCATATCCGAAAGCCCCCAACAGCTCGAAGCCAATCTCCGCGATCGTATAAGTGATCAAAAATGTGGCTGGAGAATACCGCGCAGATGACTTGGACTCGTGCAGGTAGAGATTCCGGTCCGCAGGGAATATCGCCATTGCATTGAGTAATCCAACAAAAGGGATAGCCGTGGTCGACTCGATAGTAAGACCTATTCTATCCTGCGCACCTGTCTGTCAGATAGACCTGCGGCGCAGTGACCTACCCGATGGTCCGTGCGTTAGACGCTGGTAGAACAGGATAAACAATCCTCCTAGCAGCGGCGTCTGCACGAGTCGATTGAAAAAGATATCTTTTCTGCGCCAGAGGTTGATCCAGTGTCTCACAATAACGACAGGTAATGCGACCCGCATTGAAGTTGTCCCTTCTCCTCGCGTCATGATAATCCCAGAGATGTGCTCTTCACCGCTCTCACCACGGTTCGTACTACGCCATCTCGATGTTATTGCGTTCACCCTCGCTAGCGACTTCTCGTGATTTGATATTCGTGGATCGACTGAAACGAGATCGAGGAGATGATCCGCCGGATTGAAAAACTCGCTCGGCACTGGATGGCCTATCGAGGTGAAGTACGATACTGCATCGGCTCGTTTGCCAGAGTACTATACCTCAGCAAAATTTCGGCGATGAACTTACTGCGACAACACCTCCTTTAGCCAAGAGCATGACATTATCGGCCAGTCGCCAAATGTCACTTCGCGGTTGATGGATCGTAGCTGCGGGTCAGCGAGACGTCATAGTGAGACATACCAATCACAGTTCGACCAGTAGCAGCGATATCACGAAGCACCTGCATCACACTTAGAGCGATACTAGCATCTAGTCCGGAAGTTCTGTCCATCAGCCAAGTCAACAAGACAACTCACGGTTCATCGACCAGCAAAACTGCTGGATCGTTTATCACTGCCTCTTCAGCTCCGAGCCTATCTTTCTGTCGAGGCAACTCACTCTGTACGGCTAAACTCAGCCTCCTCTTCTCTCCTCCACTGATTCCCTTCAGCAACTGCCCGCCAACTGGCAGATCTGCGCAATCCTTTAATCCAAGCATACGCAAGACAGTCTCTGCGCGTGCCACTTTCTCTCGCCTTGGCATCTTATTGGGCAATCTGAGTATCGCAGCGTAACGTAGTGTCTCGCGGACAGTGAGAGAGGGTAAATGCCAATCGTCATCTTGCTCCACAAAAGCAACATTGGAGCGCGAGGTAGACGAAGCGGGCTGATTGGCGAATAGAAGCTGACCAGAAGTCGTGAAGTGAGAGAGGGGAGAAGCTGTTATCGGTCGATGGGCAAGTAGCTGGAGAAGTGTGGACTGACATTAGCTCAATTGCTCATTTAGCGTACCTTGCCGGCGCCGGAAGGACCCTGTACTCGTCAACAGAAGCCAGGACGAGATCAGAATGAGCTCACCAAGATCGCAGATACTTCTCCAGCTAACAAATCAGTTGATTATCTGGCTTCCAAACAAAACCTACCGGGAAACACGGCCGAGACGCTGTCCAATATCGTTCTGCGTTTCTCTTTGATAATACCTCGTCCTCTTCTCCGCCAAACAAAGGTCAAATTTCGGACCTCGACATCGATAGCGTCCCTCGTCATGTGACTTTCAGCGACATCGGTTC